TAAACCTCAACCTTAACTTTATGTTCTAAAGAGGTAATCTACTAACTTCCAACTAGATAAGATGTAATATAGGATTGGCGGTAATTTTGATTGTTGATTTACAAGGTAGAGTAGTCAAGTCATGAGATGAGTAGACAACATTGGATAACAAAAGTAGTTACTCCAACATTATCTTGTCTTCCTCTTTTTAGGGTGACTTTTCAACTCAATGACTGGATATTTTTATCCAAATGATGCTTTCAAAATAAATAAATTATTATAGAATCTTATCAGTAATGAAATTTGTGTATAGCGGTGTCATCATGGGTCGATTACCAAAGTTAGATGGTCATCATATGATTTATTAACCAGACGTTTCAACACCTGTTGACACTTAAATATCAACTTTGGATTATACCTAATATCAATGAGAATTCACGAGGAACTAGAATTTTAGAAAATAATTCATTGCAGCTAATTTAGAATGGCAAATCCGCTTGTAACACCTTTAGAATTATTTTTATAATGGTATTTCTGATACTTTTGTACAGTACCCAAAAATTATTGGTGTTCTTTACTTCTTTTAATAATTTAAAAATTTTACTGTTCAAAAGGCCCAAAAACTTTGAAAGCAAAATAAAAGATTCCGCTGCCGGGGTTCGAACCCGGATACCAATGATTAAATCATTACTGGGTATTACCAAGTGCCACAGGCCCACAGAGAAAATCTTTTTAATCGTATTGGAAAATAATTTACAAAGAATAATAAATGAAATGAGTTCCGATAGCCAACTTCCGTACGTTGAGACATTAATAATTGATCTAATTAAATAACTATAATTAAAGTGAAGATAAAATGAAACAATTCGAATAACATCAAATGGTTAGAAGTATATTAAGAAAATAGTAAAGGCTTTAACTTGAAAAATGGGAAGTCTATGCTAAGTCAGATGCGACTCTTAAAGTACGTGAATTGAGCAGTCTCACAATGCATCAACATTGTAGGGACACCAAATTTTTTTTTTATGTGTGTGTATTTAAAATGTTTTACTAATTTTGAATTTTTGTTATTATGTTAAATTAAAGGACACAATATATACGAAAAAGAGCAAAAAAATTTATATTACATTAATATTTTTTTAGTTTAGCATATTATTGAAAAAAAATTGTTTTTTCAAATTTTAGACTATCTTACTTTAAAAAAAATAATAATTAATTAAAATTAAACTATCTATTTTTCCACCCCTAATCCCAAATGCCCAATTTACTTCATTAATCAATTATCAATCCAACAAGACAATGACAACCCAAAATTCAAGTGATTAGAGTGAAGAGTAAAAAGCTAACTCCAAATCCCTTTTCACTATTTCTCTCTCTCACATCTTTTACCTCACGAAGAACAGTCAAGTAGAAAAGAGAAGAAATTCTACCATAAGTCTTTGTTGCTTACTCTACAATAATACAATCTACATAGTAATATCACCATTTTGTGTCAGGATTAAGGAACATAAAATGAGTAGTGTGCATATCAACATGACTACTTGAATTGATTTACGTGCTAGTGAAAATTTTGCAAAATCTTTTACCAAAAGAATAAACAAATGAGACTTTTGATATGTTAACTTATTTGAAAAGATTGAGTTGATTTCTAATTACATTTGTTGTTTATAAAATACTATTGACAATTCATATTACTGTTGCATCTGCCGAAAAAAAGTTTTTCTAAATTGAAGTTATTAAAATCTTATTTGCGATCAACATGTTACAAGAACAATTGAATGAGCTAACTTTCATACCTGTTGAATAAAATTTGCTAGAACATATTGATTACGAAAGTTTAATTAGGGAGTTTACTTTTAGAAATGCGAAGAAATATTTTTACTTGATTTGTTGTATTATAAGATTTACACGTGGTATATAATATTTCTGATTTCAAAAATTGCTTATATGGAATTGCAAAAAGAGTTTAGTGGCTTGGATGGTTCTTTATCATATGAATTTTGATGAAGCTCAAAGGAAATATTGAGGTTTACTTCTACTTTTTGTTATTCAAGACATGTAAAAAAAATATTTAAATGCCATATTTTCGCAATGAAATAATATTATTGAAACATATTTTTTTCTTAATATATTTTTTAATTTCGTGAAAGGGCCATTTTAAAATATTTTTTTCTTAATATATTTTTTAATTTCGTGAAAGGGCCATTTTAAAATGTCGCACGCTAAGTAACCTTGGCAACTTTCATCATTAGCAGGAAGCATATAAAGTTAACACTAAGGAAGCATAACTCATGCACATAATGCCTCGACATAATTCTGTCACTGAGAATCATAACACGAGTTTTCGTTCTTTGTCTTATTGATATATGGTTATAAACTTCAATATTTTTCTGTCAAAAGAGTCGAGATCGTTTGATAGATAAAATTTGACCTTCTTATCTTCAATTATTTTACAATAATTCTATCATCTTGCAGTCAAAATTTAATACAGAATTTCAATTGGGCAGCAATTAAAAACTTGGGAGTTCCTGAATTACAGTACGAACTGTATGCAACTCTTCTGAATAAATTACTAGTAATGCCTTAAAATTGTAATAAAATATTTTGAAGGGTTAAATTTGCCAAGATTTTGTATTAAAATTGTGACTTGCTAACTATTCACTGTACAGACCCCACCCCACCCAATAAAGTAAGTTGATAAGAATAGAGATGCAGGTTTATGCCAATACAAGCTCCTCTTCCTCCTGTTGCCGTACCAGTACTTCAGATAATCGTCCTTCACTATAGGGAAAAAGAATGCGCTTTATGTCTTCTGAACCAAGGGTTTCGTACTCCAGAAGTGCACTTGCTAAAGCATGCAGTGCCTTCTCGTGCTGAAAAAATGAGTACAAAGTCGGGTTATATGGGAAACAAATCACAAAACTGGACTTATTAGATTGTTAGTGTAAAATTGTTTAAACAAACCTTCTTCAGGAG